ATGATAGATGACATGGTTGATACTTCATACTTTTAATATATATTAATGAAAGAACAAGTTCATGTGTTACATAAAGTAGTAACGTCAGTGCCAAGGAGTTGGTTTAGTGGAACAAGGAAAGACTTAATTAGAACTCCAAATTCGAGTTCGGACTCTTACAGATACATTCTGTATGACCATCGGCTCTTTGTTATGGCATATCGTTTGATTCGGAAGTTAAATGTTGTCACATCCCAGCCTGGGTCCACTACATCCCGAGCCCGCTCCACCACCGTAGTACAATATTGTTCGCTTTGAGCCCCGACTACGCCCTCACGGTTTTGTTTCTGGGAACTCACACGAGAACTTCCCAGTCAATCACCCATCATGGGATTGCTCTCGCACGCTACTCGCTTAACTTCAGAGTTCCAATGGAACCCGAAGCCAGTGAGCTCCCAAAAGGCCTCATGCTAGGTAGGGATGAGAATATACATATAAGGATCACTCCTCTGGGTGATGTGGGATCTTACAATCCAACTCCCTTAGGGGCCCGACGTCCTCGTCGGCACACCACAGCCAGGGTTAGGTGTCACATCCCGTTCCAGGTCCACCACATCCCGGGCCCGCTCCACCACCGTAGCACTATATTGTCCGCTTTGGGCCTCGATTACGCCCTCACGGTTTTGTTTCTGGGAACTCAGATGAGAACTTCCCAGTGGGTCACCCATCATGAAATTGCTCTCGCGCGCTACTCGCTTAACTTCGGAGTTGCTATGGAACCCGAAGCCAGTGAGCTCTTAAAATACCTCGTACTAGGTAGGGATAGAAATATACATATAAATATCACTTCCCTGGACGATGTGAGATCTTACAAAAGTATTCTACCGTCTCATGATATATCGAGACTGCATGAAAGGAAGATTATTCTACCATCAATGCCTTATGACCGTGCTGCGAGACATCGAAAATTTGTTCAGAATACACCTAACTCGAACAACTTTATGCCCGATTCATTTACCATACGTGCATGCTTTTTCTGTGCTGCTGGGTAGCTAGGACCAAAAACCATTGAGAGTCTTCTTTTCTTGCCATATCCTGTCGGATTTTGTATGGAAGTAGATGCAGCATTTAATACTGAAAACCACTGTGCCCTGACCAACAAGGACACTGCTGCTCTCGTGAAGTTGTCACCCAATAATTGAAGACCTAGCTTATCTTTACACTTGATGACGATGAATATCTGCTTATCTTTACACTTGATGACGATGAATATCTGTTTTCACCAGTTCAAATAATTAGGGTTCTCATGAATCATGATATGTAGTCGTAACTTTGCATGAATACGTACGGGAGATTTCACTCCATTTATGTCCTTTCCATGCAGCTTTAGAAGAGGGCATGGGTAATGACTTTTAAGCCCTCTAGTTGGAAGAAACAAATTTGGTTGCAAACCAATTAAAATAAACAAGATTATTTGTATACCGACATATGGCAATTGACTTTGTGTACATAAGCATGTTTAGACATGATATGACACCTTAAAACAATCAGAAACTTTCACCTTATGTATGTACAAGGTTAACACTATTGACAACTCTTGTTTAAATTGTACTACAATAATTGAGCCAAAAAAAAAAAAACAATTAATAATACAATAGTATAATGTGAAGTAACTTTTCCTTATTTTTATGACTAATGGTATAATGAGTTTATTTATTTATTATTTATTGTTATTCTTATCCTTATATGTTTGCATGTTGGTCAACTCGCGAGCACAACACATATAAATAAGTAAACTCGAATACAAGTTATTGTCACAAGAAATTCTTTCTTGCAATTAGTGTCACCACGTACCAACTATCTAACGAAATGTAATTCTCTATTCAAATATGCAATAATCATTTATTCCATCAGTTGTGCAAATAAAATAATATATTGATTTCAAGAAATATTGCCAACCCTTTCATCATACTACCATGATCAGTCCGTAGAATGTGTTTTACTGGTGAATTACCTGGAATCCACTACTAGATCCTTGAAAGGTGGAAGTTATTGCACATTGACCCCTAGCTTTCTCCCTTTGCTTAATTGGACCACCGTATTGTAGATCCAGCTGCGCACTGTTGCTGCGTTTGTAAGATGCATCATTTACTTTAAGGTTTGATTCCGATTGGTAATTAGGTTTAAATTAATTGCTGGTGTTCATTTTAAAAATAAACAAAATAATGACAATAATCAAGAGTATCAGCTGTGAATAATTGAATATCCCCGCATTCCCAAACCAGTTTTATTTTATAATGTGAAAAAAAAAAAATATTACTATTAGTGAGAGTGGTATCGAAGTTGAGTATAAAAATCACATAAACAAGAATAAAATTTTTAGTGTGCCGAAAACATAGCTCGGTACATCAAGTATTTAATATAATTGGTTAAAAAGAATTTCAAGTTTTCAACCAATTGTACTATTACACTTAATATATCAAACTGTATTTCAAGGACACTGAAAAATCTCTCACAACTAACAAACATGCATGCCGCAGTTTTCTTGTGGAACAAATACACACGCATATACAGAATATTGAAAGCAAGGGGGGAAGGTCAACTTCAACCTCAAGGCATTGCTGTGTTGTATTTTTTTTAATTTTTCCCTACTTGCCGTGTTTATTTGTCTCTACCAGCGATTACTTTTCAAATTTAGAAACAAAATTCGCAACTGGACAGCAGCAGCCACTTTGCTACATGCTCCCACATTCTATGAACTAAAACTAGTGGTTCCTTTATTGATGTTCACAACCAAAAAGTTTGAATCTTACAACTGTATAATTGAGGAGATATTTTTATGAAAATAAGAACACAAGTTATAATAAGATAAAACAACATAGTATATAACCAACAAATTCACATATTATATAATTTAAATTAAAAACAACATTATGTTATTGTGTTTAGTACATATATTACTTGTATTCACCGATGGAGCCAGTTAAAGCCTAGGAGGGCCATATGACCCTTCTCACATATTTGGAAACGTTGTATTTATATGTGGTATATTGATAGCTTGATTTTTATATATTTATAGTTGACCTTCCTTGTAAATATAATTTGCTCATATTTGAGGGTCCAACACTTAATTTTATAATTTCATTCTTTGCCTCTTAATCAAATAAAATTTGTTTAATTTAATATCCTCGTACTCATATCCAATTATTTTTATTCGAATTTGCACCAAGGTGCATAGGCATGATTGTTTTTCGGAATTGTTGTAAAGTGTCATTTGCTATTATGTAATTTGTTAAATCATATCAATATCAAGGTTGGAAATTTAGAATATTTTCTATACTTATGATCATTTTTAAGTAATCTTCACATATAAGCTCAATTTATCATAATTTGTAGTCACGTAAAATGAACTCTCTTTAACAAAAATTTTGGCTCCACCACCGCTGGTATATTATAGATCAGGCCGTTGAATATAGACTATAATTTATGCTTGAAAATTCAGAAAAATACCTAAAACAAACTAAAAAGTCGCAATATATCTTTATCAATCTGGTTAGGGTGGAATGAAGTCATAGTTTGACTTTCAACTTTTTACAACCTTTGCTGTTATATACACGAGTAACGATTGGTTATAAGGTTCTTGGTGGGTTTGGTCACAAATTTCATACTAATCGTTTCATAGTTCGATTGGGAAATAAGTTATGATTTTGTTCCAAATTTTCGAAAGACTGCTACTATTGTTCACACCACTTTCACACTTGTCACCATTCTTCATTATCTGACCACATAAAAATGTTGCCGCAAAGGAAAATATTAGGAAAACTAAATTTGTAGCATTTTTTGTAGATCAATATGTTGTGACGGTTGATGGTTGTGCTTCTTTTTTTAATGATTTAAAAAAAAGTCTAACCATCAATCGTCAAATTATGCGATCTATAAAAAATAGTTTAAAATTTTGATCTTTCTAACATCACCCTGCCACAAAACGTTCAAAACGTACCCATGTGAGCAAATTATATTTTTCAAATAAGGGAAAATGCAATGCAAGGTTTTATTTCAAATTGCACATGATGATTAGTAAGAAAAACACAAGATACAACATATTTCTTTTTCCAGTCAGACATGCATACGAATATTCTTTGAAGTTCTTTCCAAAATGATTTTCCTTTAAACCTTAATTTTAATTATTTAAGAAAAACAACAAATGTCAATATAAGAATCCTAACTTATTTGGGAAACTTAGAGGAATTTTGAATTCTAATCCGTTGATTAGTTTGGTATGTGGGAAACCGTTTCACTTGAATCGATCTAGACGCTTATCGTTTTAGATACACGGTACTGATTTCCACAGTTTTGATTTCTCTTTCAGCATTTTTCTTCTTTATTTTCTAATTTATTCGATAAAAAGCTAGAAAAACGAGAAGTACACGAAGAAAATGAGAAGTGAGAAAACCACTATCCTAATATAAAAACACAAGAGAATTGCAAAGAAACGGTAGTTAATTCTCACACACGTGGCAATAGCTATTAATCGTTGTTACAAGTAGGTCCCACAACGCAAAAAACTCGTAATAAACCATTTGCATGCATGATAGACAGTTGCAAGCACAACCATAAACGCAAAATCAACGGTATCCAAATAGAAATACAATTTCAACTCTGAGATACTTTTCAAATTGCATAAAAGATCCCCTCTCCCTCTCCCTTTCGGAATCTTTCCCTCAAACACGCAAATAATATTGGGATGCGTTATTCACACACTCATTTTTACTTTTCACATATTATTTGTTAATTTGTATCATTCGATATTCTTCAATTCATTCGATCCGACAGCCGAAATTTAGAAAAGTGGGAGAAGTGAAAAATGGTGTGTGAATATTATACCCCATAATATTTTGTCATTACTAGTCCTCCACTACTCTACCTCTTCTACATATAGATACACACATATACTATATATAAATATATGGAATATATATATATATATATATATATATATATATATATATATATCCTTTTGTTTATATTTATATAAAACAACCCCACATCACCATTTCCTTGTATAAGCCAACCTAAACAACACCCACAGTAGCAGAGACTTCCAAGATCTCAATCTCTCCAAACACAACAAAACAACACAAAGTTCGATGGACGTGGAGGCTCACGAGCCGCGGCCGCCGCCATCAGCCCTAACGCGGCTCAACAAGTACGTTGCCAAAACCCGAGTCGGCAAGCACTTCAAACTCGCCGAGCGCAACTCCACTTTCACCACGGAGCTCCGCGCCGGCACCGCCACGTTTCTCACCATGGCCTACATCCTCGCAGTCAACGCCTCCATTCTTTCCGACTCTGGCGCCACCTGCTCCGTCTCGGACTGCATCCCTCTCTGCTCAGACTCGACACAGTCTCTCCAAAATTGCACCGGATCGGTCATCCAACCTGACTCGACGTGCAAATTTGACCCGGTCAACCCTGGCTACTCCACCTGCATAGAAAAAGTTCGAAAAGATCTCATCGTCGCCACCGTTGCCTCCTCCCTCATCGGCTGCTTAATCATGGGCACCTTCGCGAATCTCCCGCTGGCTTTAGCTCCGGGTATGGGCACCAACGCCTATTTCGCATACACCGTTGTCGGGTTTCACGGATCGGGTAATGTCTCTTACAAGAGCGCATTGGCCGCTGTGTTTATCGAAGGCTTGATTTTCCTCTTCATCTCCGCAATCGGGTTGCGCGCCAAGCTCGCAAAATTGATCCCGAAACCGGTTCGGATCAGCTCCTCCGCTGGTATTGGACTTTTCCTGGCGTTTATCGGGTTGCAGAACAACGAGGGAATCGGGTTAATCGGGTACAGTTCCTCGACGTTGGTGACGATCGGAGCCTGCCCCGCTTCCTCGCGGGCATCTTTGGCTCCCGTCATAACGGCTGCTAACGGCACCGTTATTTTGATCCAGGGCGCTACCGTTTCGGGGGATATTATGTGCCTGCGGGACCGAATGGAAAGCGCGACGTTTTGGCTTGGCGTGGTCGGCTTCGTAATTATTGCGTATTGTTTGGTTAAAAATGTGAAGGGGGCGATGATTTACGGGATTATTTTCGTGACGGCCGTTTCATGGTTCCGTAACACCAAAGTAACTGCGTTTCCCAATACGGATGCGGGAGATTCGGCGTATGAATACTTTAAAAAGGTGGTTGATATACATACGATCGAGAGTACGGCCGGGGCACTGAGCTTCAAGGATATTGGAAAGGGTTATTTTTGGGAGGCACTAATTACGTTTTTATACGTAGACATACTCGACACCACCGGTACTTTGTACTCGATGGCCCGATTCGCCGGATTCACCGACGACAACGGCAGTTTCGAGGGCCAATATTTTGCTTTCATGTCGGATGCTTCGTCCATTGTGGTGGGTTCCTTGCTGGGCACGTCACCCGTGACGGCATTTATTGAGTCATCTACAGGTATACGGGAGGGCGGACGTACAGGACTAACGGCGTTGACGGTGGCGGGATATTTCTTTTTGGCGTTTTTCTTCACGCCGTTATTGGCGTCGATACCGGCTTGGGCAGTGGGGCCGCCCCTGATTTTGGTTGGGGTGCTGATGATGAAATCAGTGGTGGAGATTGAGTGGGAAGACATGAGGCAGGCGATCCCGGCCTTTGTGACGTTGATTTTGATGCCGTTGACTTACTCCATAGCGTATGGGCTGATTGGTGGGATTGGAACATTCATAGTGTTGCACGTAGGGGATTGGGGCCTAGAACTTTTGGTCAAATTAGGGATTGTAAAGGGGGGAGGAGGTGGTGGGGTGATCAATGGGGCACATGATCATCAAACTAGAGAAGAAGATGCAAAAGTGGCTGAAATTGGAGTTTAAACATTTCAATTTTCACCTATATAGCAAAAATTGGGGTCAATGGGTTCATAGATACATGTACATATTCTACATGTTTCAAAAGTCTTGCTGGACTTTTTAGATCTCTGTTTTTGTTTTTATTTTTGGAATTGATATTTATTTTGTTTTGTATACAAATGACATTGAGTCGAATGTAAGGTACAATTATTTGAATTGTAAACTTCTTTTTTAATATTTGTATGAAATACTTATACTCACAAGTGATAAATATCTTTTCTATTATAAATATGTAAATTATATTGTTGACAAACCGAGTGCTTCCTTAAAAAGCACTTGGAATCTCTTTTTAACACTCACAAACTCTTTATTTTTCTTTCTTTCTGTAAGGTGATGTTATCCACGCACCTCATTTTACTTTTTAAATACTCCATGTTAATTTATATCATTTGGCCCTCTTCAATTCACTCAATCCGACATACTAAAATTAAGAGATGTGTGTGAAAGGTAAAAATGAGTGCGGATAACACCACCTTTTTTTGTAAGATGTAGCTAGATTCGCTTTGGGTTGTGAAAAAACAATAACAAACATGCCCTTAGTTATGTTCGATGACTTGATCTTTTGGGTAGACCATTTATTTAAATCATATTTTGTAAACCATCTGACGTGGTTGTTGATAATTGAATTATTACTTGAGTGCTAATTAACGTGCTTATTTCCTATTGGTAACGCATTATAGAATTTTTAGATGTGCTCTAAAATTTTATCTTAATCAACACTTTAAGTCTTTAATCAAACCCTATTTATTTGCTTTCTTTCGAAATCACAGATGGATTATTTGGCAAAACCAAAAAGAAAACCGGATTAGGATATTTATCTCTTAATACCTCACCAAAATGGGTTGCAAAGTCTTCATCAAAATTGGTTTTGAGTCTCTCTCATTGATACTGTATTTCCAAAGATACAACAATGCATATATAAATGTAATTTTCCCTTTCTTCGATCTATCACTTTTCATGGGTTCTCTGGATAATTTGTTCTAAAAGAAAACAAAAGTTGCGCATAAGCCATAAAGTAACCAAGCAAATAATGGCACTAGCCATTCGATCGGGCAAACCAGAGGTCCAGAACAGGCTCAAGTTCAGATTCGGTATAACAAATTATTATTCTCTTCTCAAAGGTTCGTGGATAACACATTGACAACAGAGCTCGACCATCACAAAAGAGCTAGTTAAACTTGGACCATCATAATAAAAGTCAACTATCTTTAGATCGACCATGTATAATACCAATCTCACACTTGTATGAATCGAATATGAGACTTCTTCGAACCAAGCGAAGACAACTGTCACTAGATCAAACGTTGATTAGTCATGATCTAGCATAGTGGCTTTTGCTTAGGCTAATTGGACTCTATAAAAACCACAAAACGTTCTTGAAAGGGGACCATCTAAATCAAGCAGGCAGTGCTTAGTGGGGGATATTTGGTACCACTCCACTGACCAAACACCTGTCTTGTTCTAGTGGGGATTTTAACCGATTGATAAAAAAGTATGCACCAAACTCACAACCAGAGAACTAATCCTCCTTTTTGTTTCCGTGTACAAATAATTGAGACTAATATTATACGTACAAACGTACATTGGGAGGAGATTTTTGATAGGTGATTGGCTAGTTTAGCAGATAACTGACAGATGATAATATTATTCTTTAGTGCTACTATATGATAAGTTGATAACCGTAATTCTTATTCTGCAGTGAAAATTAAAAAGGCAAAAAGGATAGAGAATTGCAAAGTAGGGTTCTGAGAACATATTCTTTGCATGGTGTTGGACTGACACGAAACATCAAACCATGGTGCATGTGTCCTCTAATCCTAAAAAGTCATGCTTTGGAGTTCTTTCCCAAGACAAATCAAGAGATAAATAAGAATGTGGTTTGATGATTTGTAGCCACAGTAGTGACAGGTGTGCAGGGATTTTCATGCGAATTGACACCAGTTTTGTTAGATATATGTTTTCTTGAGTGTGTCTGGCACTAACTTGATGGTGTAAGAATGTATTCAAATAAGAAATTCCTTCATATTTCGGGGCTTTTATGTGTGACATCGAACCATGAGGTATGCATCTTGGGATATATAAGAAAGTTCGCCTTTGTGCAAGTGTGGCTTACAATTTGTCATTGCAAGTTGAAAAAAAAAAAAAAATGCATGTACATGCAACCTCTTTCACGTATGCAATTATGTCTCAGAAAATATTGCAACAAAAAAAAAAAAACGTCACATGCAACGGTTGTATCTTTCTCGTGTAACTTTAACCTAATATATTCAAATCGAAATTTGTTCATATCTCGGTGTGTTTACTTGTGACATCAAACCATGAGGTATATGCATCTTGGTATCTATAAGAAAGTTCCACTTTGTGCAAGTTAGACTTAATATTTGTCATTGCAAGTTGAAATAAACTTGCATGTACCATCTCTTTCACGTATACAATTATATCACACTCATATAATGTTGTAAATACGAGAAAAACGTCGAATGCAACAATTGCATGCAATTCTTTCTTGTGTAAGTCGCATTTATTATAAAACAACAGTGTATAAAAAGAAGAAATTAGGTTCTCATCCCTCTTATTCTATTGCATTGATTAAAACCTTATTTCTTTTTAATTTTTTATCAAGGTCCCTAATTTTTAATGAACATCATTATTTTAGTTATATACTATTTACATATCAACATAATTTATTTCTAAAATTACATTTGGAATATTTATATTTACGGTTAAACTTTATATCATATATTTCTATTTTGAGTTTGCACCATTTTTAATTTGTACTAATTTTCATTTTAGTTTTGATTTGTACCCAAATATTAATTTCATTTTGTGCCCATATTTTCAAAATTTTTATTTATACTCATAATTTATTTATAATGTACCCATTTTTCTTTATAAATGTGCCACACTTTGTTATATGTAAAATGTACCCTTTTTTTTTTTTTTTTGTAAATGTACCATTTTTTATGTAAATTGTACCCATTTTTTTTAATGTGAAATCTATTTATTTTTTATTTATAATGTATACATATTTTATAATAAAATGTACCCTTTTTCATTTTTTTAACACTATGAGTACATTCATTTGACATTTATTATTCAAAGTTATATTGTTACCTGTTTTTATCTATTTATTCAATCAATTTTTTTTTCTTTTTTATTGTAATCGTTTTTAATATATATGCCATATAATATGAGATTTTAAATCTCATAACATGTTAAGTAATTAATATCAAACATATGTAAATACATATTGATAGCAATAATGAGGTATACATAGTTAAGGAACTTTGATAAAAAATATTGAATATCATCAAGGTTTTAGTTAAAAAATATTAGTGGCTAAGGATCGAATTCAAAGTCTTTCATATAAAAATTAGAAAGTTAGATGTCAACCATTGCATGGTTGTAGACAAAAGGTGAAGACTTGAAAGTGGTCTAAACTAAAACTTCTTGGAAAAGTGAAAGCCACATGCTCAAGGAGCTTGCTAAAAGGTTCTGGTCTTTAGTGAACCAATAATATGGTCCAGGAGAAGCCTGATTTTATGATCCCAAACCCATTTGTTGTATTAGAAAACTATCATCTTGGAACCTCTCTTTATTTATTTTTTTGGGTAAATATCATATTGGAACTTGGAAGATTCACATTCACTGCCCCTCACATTTTAGAAATTTTGATTTGATTCAAAGGGGCATTTTGGACAAATCACCTGTCTGGTATAAACTTCTGGTTCCGGCAGAAGAAGAAAGAAGTGGAGAGAAATGGCAAGTGTTGGCAACAGTTGCTTTGGCTCAGTCTTCGTAGCTCCGCTTGAAAACGATGTGTTTTTTAAGAAGATTAAGAAATCTCCATGCAATTTTTTAATGGGATTCAATAATTCTTCCAAATCCAACAAAATTTATTGTGGATTGCCAGAAAACCCCACGAGCAGCAGACCCTCCATTTCAAAGAACACGGTGGAGGAATACAACGCTGCAATGAAGAAGATGATGAGGAACCCCTATGAGTACCACCATGATCTGGGTCAGTCTCGTAATTTCCCCACGTATAAATTTCTGTAATTTCAGGTTGCATTTCATTTTTTTATCAATTGATGATTCTGTAATTTGTTACCTTTTGTTGGGTTTTCTCGATTTTCTGATTAGTGGTGTAGTTTGATCAAAAGATTGAAACTTGAAAGCGCTAATTGCAATTTATTGACAAATCCAATTAAATTTATGTTATTGGATTTTAAATTTTGTGCCTTTGTGTGATATATATGACCCAGTTGCACAGTTTTGATCTTTACTTAAATGTAGGTTTAGTGCTTTAAGATGGTTACTAATTAACTTTTCATTGCACCTTTTCTGTAAGAAATTCTGGCACCAGTTCAATTAACTTTGCTTTTCCTTCTTTTTGGTCCTGAAAACTGTTTTTAGTTTGATACAAGATGCGAAAAGTTCATTACTTTGCAGTACTTTGATGCGAAAAGTTCATCAGATATCAGTCAGTCTGCGTAGATTACCACGATTTTGAGCAGCAGCAGCAATGCCTTGTTGCTGAATTTGTTGAGGATTAGGACTTTTCTTTTTATAATTGACTAGTGATTCAGGATGTCGTTTTACGAATTCAGAATGAGTAGGGACAATGTTGATAAGTGAACTTTAAGCGAAAGGAATTTTGGGTTTTGCATTTGGGAAGAAAATAAACAAATCCGGTACAATTTAAGAGTGTAGAATTAGTACCTTGTAATCTATTCCAGTGGCTTCAACTAATGTGATTGCTCGTGTTCAATGTTCAGGCATGAACTACACACTGATAACTGATGACTTGATAGTCGGCTCGCAGCCTCAGAAACCGGAAGATATAGACCACCTGAAGGAAGAAGAGAATGTGGCATACATTTTAAACTTGCAGCAGGACACGGATGTTGAATATTGGGGAGTTGACTTGCAGTCGATAATAAAAAGGTGTAAAGAACTTGGAATCCGGCACATGAGGAGACCCGTAAGCAAATATCCCTTCCCACATTCATTTAACAGATAAAGTGCATTCATACTAAAATGACCTGGATAAAGTCCCAAACTTTCTAGACATACCATAGTCTTTCTTTTTACAGACATCATGATTTCGGTTTGCAGAAGCATCGTGCTCTGTTCTGGAAACCATTCCAGACCAAGAACAAAATAAGTTTTGGGACCCTTTGTGCATTTGCCTTACTTTGTTTATCAACTACTGCAGGCAAAGGATTTCGATCCAGATTCCTTGCGAAATGGTCTACCTAAAGCAGTTTCATCACTCGAATGGGCCATCTCTGAGGGAAAAGGAAAAGTGTATGTGCATTGCACTGCTGGATTGGGAAGGGCCCCGGCTGTTGCAATTGCCTACATGTACTGGTTCCTTGGAATGAATGTGAGTCCTTGTTCATCGCTATATTTCTGCTTCTTTCCATTAAGAAATCGCACAATGCCACACCCTTTGGTAACATGCAACCGTTTTAGTGTTCCAGACTTCCATTGAAGTATTGAAGCCTCTAGGACGTCTAAATGACTATGAAATCTGAAACATGACCATATTATTCAAGAAAATTGAGATTTTCTGTTCTCAGTTAACGAATTGTTCGAAATTGATAGCTATTGTGATGTGCAGCTGAATGCAGCATACGATGAGCTAACTTCCAAGAGACCTTGCGGGCCAAATAAGAGGGCAATACGCGGAGCTACCTATGATCTGACCAAAACTGACCCATGGAAGGAACCCTTTGAGAGTCTTCCTGAATATGCTTTTGAGAATTTAGCAGACTGGGAAAGGAACTTGATTAGAGACCGCGTCTATTCTCTCCGTGGAACTTGATCTCTTTGGTAAGTCTTTCTTGTCTTAAACTTCAATCTATAATCACAGGACAGTCTACTCTCGAACATTTGGACCATGTCCGAAGATACTGGTGCTGAAAATTGCTCTGAAACATACTTTTCGTGTTGTATGATTTCTAGCAATCTCAACGCATGGCCGAACAACCGTTTCTGCACTTCTTTTTGGATGTCTTTTTACAATCCTTTGTTAATATTGTGAAGGTATGTTGGTTCTTGACAGGTTCCCATGCCATTAAAAGCTCAACATCGTTGATCAAGGCAATGCAGCAGAGAGTTGGTACTGGGGATAGATGGCGGATTAATTTCTGGGCAATGCTCGACGCTGGACGCCTATCAAGCATACTCGTCATTTTTTTCAATCTACCCTGTGCGATCATATATTATTTAGCTTAGTGTATAAGATTAAACAAAATAATGAGGCCACAGAAGTATGTGGCATCGAAATGATACATTGGTGATTGCGGTATTTGAGCCGTTTAATTGCGAGTCTGATAATTTATGAATCTGCAACAAGTTTAATAAAAATGCAGTTCTTTTCATATTTTGGTTAAGATTTTAAGTGCAGTCCATCGCAGTGTTTCTTCGGCAGATTTGTTCCCAGTACGGAAGGCACTTGCATTAGCAGAAAACATTTGCATTTCCTACAACATTGTATATCCATCTCCGAAGCAGCATGCTCTATGTTGTTTTCGGTTTTTCTGAGGCAACACGCTCTACGTTGTTATCGGTTTTTCTTGACAAAACAGCAGCAAGCTGCCATTGCTCGAAAAAGGAGAGATAACAGAACTCTTGTATAATTAGTTCTTTAAACGCTCATAAACGATTCATCTTTACAGTAGATAAACAGCAAAAGAATGTGTTCACGAAACATTAGGAAGTGGAATGTGTCCGGAGTTTTGCAAGTTCTGCTTGACGGCGACCTAAATGAAATGCAACAACTATCCATAGCAAACAGACCTGGAGAAGAACAAAGAGGACCAGCATTAGTTCATCGTTCTTTGTTCGGGAGAAATAATCCGGAAGAAAAAAAATGCAAATGCTTTACAAATTTAAACGTACAGGCAGGCCGTAGAGAGAGACAGTTGGTGCCCTTCCGTTCAGAGTGCTGAAAAGTAGCTTGTACATTCCTGCGGCTGTAGCATCTCCTAGTCTTTGAACAAATACATCGATGCAAACCTGCAATATCACGTACTCGGTTTAATAATGTCTCAAATTGTTGGGTGATTTGCTTAAAATTTCACGGTACAGGATCAATGCAATGTAGGGCACCAAATAAGAAATCCTGTGAAAAAGAATTCAGAAACTCGTGCCTTGGCTTTGTATTTTTCATCTTGTGAGACAACGGTAAACAGGAGTTCTCTGCCTGGCCTGGTCATAACATAAGTAACAAACTGCAGAGAAACACAAAAAGAAAGCTGTAAGATCCAACTTCACAATGTTCCCTCACATTGAGACTTTGACCGTTGTTTCTATCCGAATGAAAGAAATATCATCTTTGCATATTACATATGTTTTAACATGTATTAAGCAATTTACAGGCAGATGTCTTGCCTTCTTGGATTACGTTATAAGATAAACTGTGAAAGGGAAAGCGCAACCCAGAAGTTAGAGAATACAAACCTTCCGCGAGGTCTCAGAAACAGCGACAGCCACCCAAGTTGGCCAGACAGCAATAGCAACCAAATTTAAGAAGGCAACAAATGGAGCCGCACAAATAGCTGTAGTAACCCCCACTATAGTTAGAAAACGCCCCTGTCAAAGTGCCACAAAACACGGTAAGTGATTATACATAAATACCTATAATGATATATGATACAAGGCATACACATCCGTGGAAATAAACAGTTTCACAATGTCGTGCATCATCCTAGAACCACAACCAAAATCCAAAAAGTCAAGCTTTATAGAAACACTCCCTAATTTGCTTCAAGAATCTTTAATTTTTCTTGCGACACCTAGAAACAGAAACATAACAAGATAGGACACCAGATTGCCTTCAGCAGGAAAGCAGAAAAGCGATAATGTTAAACACAGCTGCAAACATGAAACTAAGGGGAATCTGCTTTTAGCAAGCAATGAGCTAAGAAAATATTCTACAAAGGATATCTCATGTTAGTTACTATAGAAACTAGACAAAGTATCACCAATATAACAAAATCTCTGAAAAACAGCATACCGTTATGGTAAGTTGTCCGGCAAGGATAAAAACAGCAATAAAGCTGTTTATCTGAGCCAGCAATTTTCTTCTTCCAAGAGAGGTAGTAACAGTCATGGCAATTACACTCACTTTCTGAAGTTACAAAAAATTAGAGATAAAAATCAGTGTAAAGACAAAAATAACAACAGAAGGAAGACAGAAAACAAGAGAAAAGGAAGATGAAAATATACGGGTAGAGCAACATATCCGCAGACAAGATTCCCTTTTAAGTCAAGTCAGGTAATATATATTGAGAGGCTAATTTTGAATTAAGTTAGACCTCATGATAGTGGATGGTCTTACCTGAAAATAAAAGAATGACGAGATAACCGCACTCAACCACAGGAACAAGGACACATACAACAAGTAAGACGATGACAATATAAGCCAAAATCCATCTAAAATGGCCCACATATGAGGCTTCACCACCGGAGTAGCTGAGTTGGGAGAATTTCCTTTGTTGCGAATGGTTTGCCCATTAGGCTCAGTTTTCTGATCAGGGTCAGACTCTCTAACGCCAAAAAAGAAACCATGTCAAGAAACACAAAGTTTTATAACCGCATATATTATACATGTTAAGCCAAAGAATGCAAGTTTATAATTTTCGGGAGTGTTCAACTGCAGACCGGAAATAATTTGAAACCCAATAAATTTCATTCTTGACTGGCTTATTTGTTAAATCTAAAATGTCTGCTGCAACAGCTACGTGATTCACTCCACAGCTGTAACACAAGAAATTAACAATCCAAGACAAGAACATGTACGACATTCTTTTGAGATGCTCATAGCTCATAATGCACTTAATATGGAAGAACTACAGAGATTATTACAAAATTGTAACAGAAAATTCAGTCTTGACTCTTGTCTGTGCTTTATAAAATGTTGCATGCAACAATTTCAGAGAATCCGGTGACAAAAAAATATGATAATATAGTTGACCTGATCGGAGTTAATTCCTCGTGGACATGGGATAAATCCAGGGTTATCCCTTTGGACGACTGTGCAGCAAATTCCATTAACAAAGCAGAAAACAGTAGCAGAACTGCAACAAATCAATCCATGGTTTAAGACATATCAAACACACACAAAGATACACCTAAACTAACACAACTGTCAGATTCCAAAAGACGGAATAAGGAAACATACATGGACCCAACCTAGCCATTCCCGTGGCAAACAATGACCCAAAAAGCTGGCCTAGTGTGGCACCGGCACCAATAAAACCAAATAATCTTGAACCTGACTGAATACCCAACAAGTTACATGTGTAACAAAATTTTGTATTGCAATCAAATTTGTGTGGCAGGGATAGGATGGATACCTCACTGTCCATAACATCGATTATTCTAGCCCAAGTCGAAGAAATTGTAATTAGATTAAGTAAGGCAATCTTCAAAAAACAGCACAAATTTTTATCACTATATTAAGTTTGATAAATAAACAACTTTACAAATTCAAAAAGGGGTGTCCTATCCACACACCCCATTTTACTTCTCACACACCCCTGGATAATTTATGTCCGTTGATCTTCTTCAATTCATCCGATCCGACGGCCGAAAATTAAAAAGGTGTGTGAGAAGTAAAATGGGGTGTGTGGATATCACACCCCATTCAGAAATAGGTTCTAATAGATATTGAAAAAAAAAGAAAGAAAAGCAATTTAGATATATTCATCATACCCAGAGGAACAATGCAATTCTGACCGAGACATAGAACCAGCCAAGGCTCTCCCACGCTATGGAATATGCAGTGCCAGCTTGACTAGCATCAACCCTTTCATCATTTATTGACATGGAGTCTACAGTGACCAAGCCCTAGCCATACACAAGGCAGCTATTCAGTACAATATGAACATATTTCTAGAGTGTTAAAGCAACCAAATCAGAAACAACTTGAAGCCCTATGAGACTTCATCTCACCTTCACCTCAGCTTGTGATCCGGCTGACGAAGCACGCCATAGAAAGAAGAATGCAACAAGTGATACACTAAAAAACCTGAGCATCAAAACCAAAGCCTGGAATTTCAAGAAGCAACTATTACAGAGCGATATGAAAACAAACACATATAAAAAACAAGGAAAGAACCAGTTATACCCTTGTACTCTTCAACCCAAATTATCAAGTTACACAAACACCCCATATCAAAAGAATCAATTTATACCACAAAGACGATAATTTCGAACTCCCCATAAAAAATAAAAAAACAGAAACCACGCATATCGAAATCTGGCAAGAACCAGCTATATACCCTTTTGCCTTTCAACCAAATTATCAAGTTACAGAGACACCCCACATGAAAATAATCGATCTTTACCACAAAAAAAACAACAATTTCAAAGCCCCCATGTCGAAAAAATGGCGGAAATACACACATACCTTGCCTTTCGAAACGTTGGGCAGAGAGAAGATGAGAGTTGCAACTGGGGCGGCAATGGAGGTGAGGGCCAATGACCCCACAAACAGGTTCGGCAGGCTCGACAGACCTAAGGAAATTGCACCCTCGTCGCGCAGCGGAAGCACCACGAAGTAAGCGCACAGAATCTGCATTGGAAAATCAAAATTTAGCTGAAATCCCAAACCCCAGTTCTTGAAATTTGAGAAAGTGTTGAAATTTAGCCAAAAGGGACTGGAGAATTTAGAAAAGCTTACGAAGAAGAAGCAGGATGAGGAGTGGAGGAGAGCTGAGATCTCGTGAGGGTGCACCGAAACGAAGGTGGAGAGGATCGTATCAAATCGGGACCTGCTCATGGCTTCTGTGTCAGATGGAATCATGGAAGACTGGATTTTGGTGGATGAATGTTACGATGAAAAAAGAAGAAAAGCTTCAGTTCGACGTTCGTGGCTGAAAAAGATGGGCTTGAAAGTCAAAGTATATGACTGGGCCTGGGGTCTGGGCTGGCCCAATAGATAACTGTCGAATCAGGTAGTCTCTGGAAGCCCTACCTCCTACTCTCTCTCTCTCTCTCTCTCAAGTCAATGTGCTATGCCCAGCTACCTGTGCAGAGCATCTAGATTTCTCAGCTCAGCTCCCACGATCAGACTCGCTTCTTCGAACCCTGCAAGATTTCGCTGCTCTGTTAAGCTTTCGACCATGTCTAATGGAGAAGGAGCTGTTCGCTTCCCCTTATCCGCTTCAAGCACTCTCGTAATCCAAAAGGGAGATATCACCAAGTGGTCCGTCGACGGCTCCACGGACGCCATCGTCAGTCCTCCTCTCTTTCTCTTTACTCTGTGATTTCTGTGTCGTTCTCTCTCTCTTTCTTTTTTTTTTCTGTTTGTTTCTCGAGAAAATAATAGGCAAAGAAAAGATGATAACTTTGCACCCTTTTGGGGTCTTAACTTTGAATTGGTTGATGGGGTTGAATTTCTGTTACTGGGAAATCAAAATATCAAATCAAATTTTGTGTAAATTTAGTTTTAGTTTTACAATTTCTGATTGCTATTTTCTGGGGTTTGTGCTTCTCTGTGCTTATAGCATATAACTTTGTGCACATATTGGTAGAATGTGAGCATCCAACCCGAAACCGAAACCGGTTGATTACGGTTCATATTGTTTCTTGCTTCATGATAGTGCACTGTATTTTCGTTCCATGAATGTCCCAAATTGCTCCCATTGTGTTCTTGTGCCATGTTTTCGATAATATATGATCCGGTTTAATGCAATTTGGTTCTTTGGTCAGCATCCAGTTCTATGAATGTGAGCATATCAATGGGCATTTTTGTAGGTCAATCCAGCAAATGAGGGGATGCTTGGAGGTGGTGGTGCAGATGGAGGTAATTTTGTTTTACAATTTTGAATAGACATTTCAAAGCGAACCTGCTATATCTATACTGATTTTGAATGATCTTCCAGCTATACATAGGGCTGCTGGCCCAGATCTTCTGCAAGCATGCTATAGTGTCCCAGAAGTCAGGCCACGTGTTCGCTGTCCCACCGGAGAAGCAAGGATCACCCCGTAAGTTCTCATGATTTAGCCACCATTTATGCATATGGCATCGCTTGGTTTTGATTCGTAGTTTCGTGGAGAACATAATCAATGACCACTTGCATTGTATACTATGCAGGGGTTTTAAGTTGCCTGCATCTCATGTAATTCATACTGTTGGACCCGTGTACCGTTCTGGCAGCAACCCGGAAACCTTTCTGAGTGCTGCGTACAGGTTATAATCTGTTTCTTGCTGATATGTAGTTTAATGTGTTAGTTCTTTATTCCTTATTAAAACTCCTGTGCAAATCGATTACAGGAATAGCTTGACCTTAGCCAAATCAAACAACCTTCAGCATATCGCGTTTCCTGCTATTTCTTGTGGTGTGTATGGGTAAGTTGACAACAGAACTCCCATTGGTGTTCGAATACGTAAGCTTTTACATTGAAGGATAAGAATCATGGTAACATCTGATCATTTTGACTTGTCACATTAAAGTTGTAAGCGACTAACAGATTAATCTCGTTTGACTGTCATATTCTTCAAGATATCCGTATGATGAAGCAGCCACAGTATCTATATCCACAATTAAGGAGTTTGCGGATGGCCTAAAGGAGGTATGTATGCTTGTACCCAACATTTTCATGGATCAATCGAATATTCTTCTAAAACTCACTGGCATTTTCATTTGCAGGTGCACTTTGTTCTCTTCGCAGACGATATTTACGATGTTTGGGTGAAAAAGGCCAATAAATTGCTTAAAGCTTAATATGCACCGTGAGCAAGCAATTAGCAGATATATGAGTTTACCTTTCTATCAGTGTAATTGGATGCAAAACCTCTTATGTAGAACCGAAGTTTATTGGCTTGTAATGTGCAGAACGAAATGGTGAAATAAAGCGTGCCGTAGATTGCCAATGTACTCGAGATATTATCGCAAAAAATACCATGGAATTATATGAAATGTATGCATTGCAGAAGTGTTCTGTTCTATACATCTAAGCTTACGTTCATTATTACACAAGAAACCAAATCCAGACTCGGACGCGAAACGGGGAAAATGGCTTTACGCTGAAATCTTCACTCGAAGGAACTTGAAGTTTCACATCCCGACCAACACCAATTAGAAAGCAACATGCAGATGACAGAACAAGAACAAAAACAACGGGAAAAAATCCGCTACGCTACTGATAGAGTTTGAACCTAAATTTTCCAGATTAAGAATCTTTGTCCTTTGGTACATTTCTGGGGAGTCTGTTAAAAACACCCTCGTCCACGATTTTGTAATGCTTTGAAAACTGCCGGTGGATCTTTCCGCAATACCCATCCACAGTTTCTTCATGCTTGCTGTACAAGGCAGGAAGTGTTATTGACAAGATTGAACCTGCCACCATCAAAGAAGTTTAGTATAAAAATCTCACAAGAAATTTACAGGTACCAACCACCTCGTTTCTGCTAGAAAAATATTCAACCTAACGGGTCCAGAACTTGACAAATTATATACAAAAATTTAAAAGAGAGTCACAAAGATCAAGATCATTCATTTGACAGACACAGGAGGAGGATGCACATACCAATATACGCAAGTGTAAAGAAGGAGAAAAAGCTTCCAATGACGGAGAAGAGCCACAGACAAACCACCACCTGTCAAATGTATGGTAGCTTCGTAAAAGTCATATTCATTCGAATCAGTAACAGATAAAAATGAGAAGTCGAAAGAGAACACCTTGTGGTTTCAGCTAGAAAATAGATTCCAAAAACATTATCATCGTAAGATGCAATGCAACACTGACCTTGAAAAACAGTCTAAAATCTTTGCCGAGAGTGATATCATGAGCCATAAGCAGCACATTGTTGATTTTAACACGAAACGATGCTGCAGCATTGTTAACCATTTCCTCCGATAGTACTAACTCCGGTAATGTTTGCAATTGTCTACTCAAAGAATATGATAGTTATCCTCATTGTAAACAGTTTCTGTGCAAGGTTGATAATAATACATGTGGAGAGTAGAAAATTCATACTTATTTCTATAAACAGCATAGTTGGCACGAAGGAATAAGAGTACAACCAAAATCAGCAAGATGTCCGCACAAACTGATAAGAATGATAATCCAGACCGCTCAAACACAAGCCAAGAAACTGTAGAAACAATGATAGTGCCGAAGGAAACACGCCCCCGCTTCCACAACAAAACATCAGCAGCTAAAAGGAAAAAGAGATATAGTAAGGAATAGAACTAAGAAAAATGTTGGCAAAACAAGATAAGTAGATATGCAAATAACAAGTGAAAACCATTCTCGAGTCAGTCATTACTATATTCAGATACTTGAAATCCAATTCCTACATTCAAGTTGTTCACATATGCATGAATGAATAACGAGGGAACAACTAGCCTAGCTATTTCCAAAATACTCTTCAGGAAGAGCGAATGTGACAGGAAAAGAATCAGGCAAGTTGTACACACGTACTGATAGGCAAATGTGAGATTTCCGAGCGACTGGATAATGGGGCATACTGGGTGATCACTACTAGAAAGCCTACTATATATGTACCTGATTCGAGTTTGTCTACATGCATCAGATCATAATAAAAATATGCAGCGTTTAAACTTGCACTATGGAAAAATGTCATTTGCTCCTCTATCACGGATTAACAACAGTAGACTCTTGGAAAGTAAATGTGGTGGTAGAGTCAATACGATGCAAATTAACTCAAACAAACCGCTAAAGTTAGCTTGCTTTTCAGTTTCCCTAAGTTGAACAAAAAGACAGTCACTTAATTCACAAAACAATCCCAACAAGCCCTGCGACACATCTATCCCCTACCCTAAAATATGCAAGTGATTGCAAATTTGCACTCCAAGAATGCCATTGATTGCTACAAGATACATTGTTTTTTCCCGCAGCTTTCCTTTCTTTTCTTCAACTACTAACAGAAAATTGAAAACGATTGCCCAAAAAACCTTCATTCTCCCACTCTTTAACTTTCAGGCTTCTCCGGCAGTTGTAACCAACCACGCATTCTTTTCAACTAAAGAGCAAACTGATCAACTGCCCACTTTACCACAACCTCCACATTTCGCCTTTACTCATCCGTTGGCATCCGCCATCCAACTTCACTCTAAATTCTAATCGATTCTATAAAGTAAATGCAACCCAACATTGATCCATCTCAGATAATCAACAACCCAAAAGCACAACATTTTCGTTTTTGCAGATAATCAAATTACAAGACCCAAAAGTTTAAAAGATGGAAAGGAAATTATAGAGAAACCCCACAAATCCAAACGCCGGAAATGTCCTAAAAGTTTCAATCTTTTTAAATTAAAGATAAAATAAAACAAAAAGTTTCAATTTTTCTCACCTTGACCGCCGCCCAAGCAGTTGTGCATCGACTCTTGACGTCCAAACAACCGATACGCAGCGCCGACGCATGCGGTGGTGTAAGAAGTGGAAGCCACATCCTTCCGTCCATCCCCATCTCCCTCTGTGCTGCATAAATCTTGTGAATTCTCCATCAAGAAATTCAAATATCTGTCTCTCCGAAGAGTAAGGAGTTATAAAATTCGTCAGTATTTCTCCTAGAATTGAAACGAAAAGAACAGGTTCCTCGGTTATTTTTTGGTCACCGACTTTCTTCAGATCTACAAAATTCCATGTGCCATAAAGTACGGATGTTTGGCGGGACCGTAGTGGACAATTAGACAAAATATTTGTTCTTTGATACCAATGAACACGTAAAAAGCGGGGCAAGTGGTTTTTACCAGGGTGATTTCGAACTCCATCAGTTCTTAATTTGACATTTAATTTAATAAAATTTATCGTTTGATAATTAAAAAAAAAATCTTGGGATGAATCAATGGTTGGAAAATAATTTCAGACTCGTATTCCACACGGCACGTCCTGAATTCAATTTCTTAATTAATCGCAATATGTGATCATGAAAGACTGAAATGCCTTTGTGAAAATGATATTAAGCTGTATAAGACCCCCCGGATCAGAGAGTTTCCCTTCTTCGTGATATGGTCGCACATATGATTTGGTTGAGCTACTCAACCAAGATTTTTTCTCCTTCCTCAAAGAAATTACGCCTCTCATGAACCATGAGCACCAAGAATGTGTAGGAGAAGAACAAATTATTCAAATTAATGACTTCTCAGTATATTAACACATGAAAATATTACCTTAAAATCAGTATACAATATCTCAAAATAAAGAAGGAAATAAGCTATGAGGTAATCGATTTGATTTTCATTTATTTTTATACAAGAACTTTATCTAATTTTAATAAAAGTTTTATAATGTTCCGTATAAAATGCTTCAGATTTTTCAACCGTTACATTTTTAACTTTTATATTTTAAGCAACTATCTAATGGTTAAAACCAGAAGATTCTCGTACTAGGGGCATCATAAAAATATCATCCTCAAAATAGGTAGATTGCAACGGAACCAGATCCTCTCCGGATCAATCAAAATTGAGCTCACTAATCAATGAATCCAGACCGTTAAAATTTGATCCAACGGCTATAATTATTATAACTTTTAGAAATGTCTCCTGTTTATAACCGTTGGATCAAATTTCAACGATCCAGGTTCATTGATTATGTGGCCCGGTTTGGTTGGATCCGAAGGGGACCGGTTCCGATTGCAACCTTTTGCGAGTGTCATTTATCCAGTATTTTAACCGCCCGCGTCCTCCCCCCTCATTCTCCAGCAAGAAAAGATAAAAGGAAAGAGACACGAAACCCACTGACCTCACCGTCAGCTCTCTGTCAGCTGTGAGACCTCCCTCCCTCCCTCTCTCTCTCTCTCTCTCTCTCTCTCTCCTCTTACAAGTATTTTTATGTTGGACGCAAATTGTTAGGTGCATCTCTCTTGAATCAGCTGACCAATAGTCTCCAATTCCACAAGCAAATCACAGAGACAGACAACACAACCAATTGGGCATTTGACCTCCAACTGATCTCAGCCATCCATCAGATCTGAGACTCTGATCCCTTCCAAACAACTCAACGTCTAGTTCTCCAGATTGCCCATTTATCGGTTTCTGTCACTCTCAGTGAGTTCACTTCATATTCTGCAATATTTTTCTTCTGATTTATGGACAAAGATGCTAAATTTTTAAGATTTTGGGGTTTTTCTGTGACTTAAAACCCATTATTATATGTTTCTTTGATTGCCCATTTCTCAGATTCTGCCACTCTCAGTGAGTTCACTTCAATTTCTGCATTTCGTTTCTAGTTTTATGGTAAAAAGATTGGATTTTTGAGATTTTGGGGTTGTTTGAGTCTGTGATCCCCTCAAAACCCATTAATCTCCATTGCTATGATATTCCATGTCTCAGTTTTTGCTACCTTTAGTGAGTACACCTCATATTCTGCATAACTTTTTTTCTCTTGTTTCATAGAAAAAAGATTGAAATTTTGAGTTTTTGGGGTTGTTTGAGACTGTGATCCCCTCTAAACCCATTAATATCCGCTTCTCTGATTGCCCATTTCCCAGTTTTTGCTAATCTTAGTGAGCTCACTTGATATTCTGCATTTGTTTTCTTCTCATTTTATGGATTTGTTTTTATTTTTTTTATTTTTATAGTTTTTGGGTTGTTTGTGGACACTGGATAGCTTGAAGTTGGGTTGGAGGCAAAAAAGATGGGGGAAGGCGCGAGGTTTCAGCTGGGGACAGTGGGAGCGTTGACCCTCTCTGTGGTCTCGTCGGTCTCCATTGTCATTTGCAACAAGGCCCTCATTAGTTCTTTGGGTTTCACTTTTGGTAAGCTTTTCACAGTCTCCATTGTTGCCTCATTTTTGTTGGTATTTCAAATTCTTGACCATGTGTTTTATTGTATTCAATGCTGAATTTACTTGGGTTGCCTTAATTTTTAGAAATCTAAGTTTGGTAAGAATGATGTGCTTTGAAGGTTTCGTGTGCAAACAAATGAAACTGATGAAGTTGTTGCTATTGAATAACGAACTTAAGTAGAAACAAAAATTTGGAGCTTTCAAAACAATTGCAATTTTATTTTCTGTTTTAAGGGGTATGGCGGGGGAGTTAATGTTGGTGATTCCACACATTATAGCTTTCGATTTGTAGTTCAACTTTAAACAGCATTGAAATATAATTTAGCCAGGATGCAGTAAGGAGATATAATTTGGGTCCTTTAGCAATTCAAACAGGTCACATTGGTAAATCCCACCACTAAATGTTCTTTTTGAAGGAAAATTATGGGAGTGCACTATTGTTATGTGGAAGATTTTGCCATCCTGTTAATTTTTACTTGGTTTACCGGAATTTACTGTGATTACAGAATAGATTGTTATACATATTTGTGCAGCCACAACTTTGACAAGCTGGCATCTTTTAGTCACCTTTTGTTCCCTTCACGTGGCTTTAAAGATGAAATTCTTTGAGCACAAACCGCTTGATCAAACGACTGTGACGGGGTTTGGCATTCTGAATGGAATCTCAATTGGACTGTTAAATCTGAGCCTGGGGTTCAATTCAGTTGGCTTTTATCAGGTATATTTGTTTCCTTCAATTCATTTTGACTTTGTTGCTTCTAGCTAAAACTTTGGTGTTTCAGCATTTTTCCAGATATTAGAATTCTGAAATCCTCTTTTGTTCTTGCATTCTAGATGACTAAGCTGGCAATCATCCCTTGTACTGTACTATTGGAGACCCTTTTCCTAGCGAAGAAATTCAGGTTTAGCCTTTTTTTTTACTAAGATGCTGATTTACCGATTCGTTCAAGCATATCCAAAATTTTAAACTCGTAACGGAGCCAATTGTTGCCTAATGTTACCCATATATAATCTTGTTATATTTGCTTATGATGTGTTTATATTCTTGATCCAGTGGAAATATAATTGTTTCGCGAAATATAAAATTGTGATATTGTGGTTTTTCTTGTATTTTCCTTCCCTCTGAATTCATATAAAGGTATAATTACAGTACTTTGGCAATTTGTCTGTGCCTGTTTTTCATTTTATTTTATTAAGTAATGCTGTTATATCTTAAATATTTCATTTTATTTTAATAAGTAATGCTGTTATATCTTAAATAAATAAGTATGAGGAGGAAGAGGAGGGGCAAAGGGTTGAGTTTTGTCTTGTTATGATGGTGCATTCCTTACCATTTATCACTGTCGAATGCCAATTTATCATATGCCATCACTGATTCTGACCACCTCAGTTCACTTCCTGCTGCGATAGCTGATATTCAGTACTTAATGAACCTACTGCTTCACGTCTTTCAATCCATTTACCCTTTTCACATCACGGTTCAACTTTCCAACGTACTGCATTTAGTTGCCTCTTAATCTGAAACATTGATTGTTAATCCATAATCTTATATTCTGATTTCCTTACCTATTACCATTCTAATATTATCTTAACTTCAATTCCTATTGCAGTAGGAGCATTCAGATTGCCCTCCTTGTTCTGCTCCTTGGTGTTGGGATTGCAACAGTCACTGATGTTCAACTTAATGTTCTTGGAAGTATCTTGTCTCTTCTTGCAGTTATTACAACATGCGTTGCCCAAATTGTATCCTCGATAGAGTTTTCTTTTTTGACTAATATCTCTGTCTAGTTTGTTTTATAGTATGAACCATTGACCCATACACCACTGCATAATTAAAGAAAGAAAATACCTGGACGTAAGAATTCTTGAATGAAATTGTCTAATGTCATGGATGCAAAGTCTCTAAATCACTTCTATTTTTAACTGCATTAAGAAAAAAAATTCACCAGCACTGCCTGTATTAGTTTTCTCCGTCTTGAAAAACATACTTACATGTATGAGTCTGAAGCTGTTCAGGTCTCACAGTTCATAGTGCTGGATACTTTCCATTAGAAAGAGCTGACATGCACGCCCTTATTAGGTCATTTCGATAGGTCTCAGTAGTTTTGTCTGTCCGGTTTTGTTTCCTTAACTAGTTTCTTTCAGATGACCAATACTATCCAAAAGAAGTTTAAGGTTTCTTCAACACAACTTCTGTATCAATCATGTCCATATCAATCAGGAACTTTATTAATCACTGGCCCGTTTCTGGATTGGTTCTTGACGAATCAAAATGTATTTACTTTCAAGTATACAACTCAAGTGCTGGTGAGAATTGAAATCATTATTTTTTTTTTCTTTTCCCTTTTCTCTAGAAAGCATTACTGATTGTGTTTTCTCTCTGATTTTGCAGGTTTTCATAATTATATCCTGCCTAATCTCCGTCTCTGTAAACTTTAGCACATTTCTTGTGATCGGAAAGACATCTCCTGTCACCTATCAAGTTCTTGGACATCTAAAGACATGCCTTGTGCTGGCATTTGGTTATATTTTGCTTCATGATCCATTTGACTGGAGGAACATCCTCGGAATATTAGTCGCACTTGCTGGGATGGTTTTATATTCTTACTTTTGCACTCGTGAGGGTCAGAAAAAGGCTGCTGAAGAAGCAACGCAGCCACCACAGGTTCTAGCCCACTTTGCTTAATCTCTGTAATTGCATGACGTACTTTCTAGATATCTGAATCATTTTCGTAAACATTGAATAACGAAGTGATGTATGAAGTCGTCTCTTTTCCCTTGAAATGGTTTCAGGCAGGAGAAGGTGAGTCTGATCCTCTAATGGGGGTGGAAAACGGAAGCGGTGTAGGAACTGATTCTGCTACCCAAATTGCCCCTGTATGG